AGTTGCGTTGCGTGAAGCACCATGCATAACAAATGGTCAGAATTTGCTTCCAAAGACAACTTATATAAGGTCAGTTTGAGAATGAAAAGTCGGGGCGACAAATGGTCAGAATTTGCTTCCAAAGACAACTTATATAAGGTCAGTTTGAGAATGAAGTTCAAAGTCGGGGCGCTCGAAACTCCCATATTAGGAATGCGTCCAGACAGATTCCGGTTTAGATCATACTTTATAGGACTTTCTTGAGAAAAGCTACCCATGTAGGTGTAATAAGATTTTTGATGCAACACATTGCCATGCTTCACAAAGCGTGAGCTGTTCGGAGGGGCTCAATTTTCTCAATCGAAAGTCCACCATTTAGAAATGCGGACATACACATACGCAGACGCACATGTCACAGTGGTGGCAGCCTCACGAATCACGAGTGTGCTCACCGGACTACCTTGTAAACGTAGCTACATGAATTCTCATGAGTAACTTCCCGAAAATGTCATCCCAAGGATGGTAGCATTATTGACCGTGAAGTTAACCAAATATCACCAGGTTATCCTCACAACCACCTTGACGATGTTTTAGTAGGCGATATTCGGCAACTCTTATATGGTTGGTGTAACGTGAAATCTCAAAAGAAGTGACGTATAAGGATGATATCCCGGTGATACAAACGATTGATTCCGGCGCCTTTTTTATAACATTATGTTTAAGCCGGCCGATGACTTGCAAAAGGCATCTAAATGTCCCCTGCCTATATTAGTCCCCCCTTTTTTCTTGCCTGCAGCACCGGACCTGGTCCAGCGCCAACCGTCTAAGCCTAAAATAAAGAAAGTAAAACTGACCAGTGTGAGCTGATTGTGGTATATGCTCGCTAGCCTCATCTCAAGAAGAAGACAATCAAACAGACATTTTTGTATATCTGGAAGGCGCCCCATGTAAGGAGTACTGTAATAAATAGTACAGGCAAGGACCTAGCCATATAGGGGTAGGTGAAATTGCGGCCAACCTATTTCTTGCCATAAACGTTGTAGTCTATCCTTTTGGAGTTCCAATGACCTAGCAAGAAAAGATCTAGCCAGGAGTTTTACACATCTGATAAGTCGTAGTGGTTCACAATGCTAACAAAACCACCCAACCGACGCCACTCCAAACAGAGTTGAGCAGGCTGTTAACATAACCAATGAGGTACCCTTGCATACCTCCAGGCACAGAAGCGATACCTTCGGCACAGAAAGGATACCACATATCATAACATGTAACGAATTATTGGTTCCAAAAGGGGATGTAACTCCTGAAGGAAGCAAGTATGATCTGAACAACACTTAGGACTTTTCTCAAAATTGACAAAGGCAAAAATACCGTGGGTGTATTGATTCATATTTTTACTCGCAAACACAAAAGCAGTTTTGGCCTGCACACATGTTCACATGTACAACGTTCGGCAACGCAACGCACACAATTTTCTCACCTTCTTCCTGGAAGCTAAACTATTTAGTTAAAACGATTGCCTCGTAGATCTCTTCATTGTTTTGACAGAAGCGAAGCGGTTTTTGCAATAGCTATTTAATATGGTCGTGTTCGTTTTAGCTAGTGCTTCAAAATACCTTTTTCAGGGCATCGTCGGTAGGGTTCCGATTTCAAAGTCAAAATTAACCAGTACTGCATCCTGCGCGGATAACAGCAGGCTAATTAATGTAGCAATTAAGCACAGATTTCAACTAATGCCTGGATTTTTCTGATAGTGGGGAGTAAAGTAAACGTAATAGCGAAGAAAGGATTAAAATGATACAACCACGGCAACAGCCCAGCCACCTTAAGGTCTGATGTATTCTGCATCTGAGTGGCGCGTCACATTCCGTCAATCGCAACTAAGGAATTCTTGTCGAAAAACAGCTTGGTTGTTATCTAGTTGGCTGAATTCAATTAGATCTTGTCTTTAACTGAAACGTTTTTTTCTCATTATTCTGGTCAACAGTAACTCTGAGAGAAGCAAATAAATAATACATAATTATACTTTACTCAAATGCCGTAGAACCCAATAAGTGTTGAAGAGAACCTTGTTAATCTGGGATGTGAGGGTGTAGATGTCCTCCTCTTCAAAGTAGAGATTTAGACTTAATTTAGATTCAACTGGACAAGCCAACTGCAAGAATGATCACGGAGACCCCATACTGGGAGGTGGACTGCACTAACAACACCAAAACCTCGTGATCTTTTTTGCATTCCTCTGCAAAGTCATCTCTTGTCCACATCAAGGTCTGCGCTATTCTGAGGGCGGCGCAGAGGACAACGCGGGTCTACAGGAAGTGCTTCGGCGTGTTCAGCACATGGACAAATCACCATATTTGCTGTGAATGGACATTTTTGGTGGCTAAAGTACCTGCTGAAAATCCAAGTACCCGTTTCCTACTTGCTTTGTCACGAATGCGATAATGCCATTCGACACTAGCAAATCTTCTAAGACATTGATGGTCAAAGACCCGCAGACGCCCCATATTATCCGTTCATTGAGACCATACATCGCAACGATACGATACAGCTGTCACTGTACTTCAGACCCAAAGATATGCTTTTTTGACACTACAAGTGACGCAAATC